GCCGCTTTTCAAGGCTCGATTTTCAACCAAAGAGTTCACACGATTTTTTGGCAATCACCAGCACCACCATCACCACCGTCGCACAACTATTATTCCCTTTTTAATCGACTATTCAATCAACTTATTTGGCTCCTGTATATCCTGAAACTCGCATGTGATATTCTTTCTTTCTCTCATTCTCTCTCCGACTCTCACTCCTCTTTTCTGGCTTCCCTGGATAACAGTTGCTTTCAACTTTTTTTTAACTTTTTTTTACTACAACGACCGTCAATCAATCTGTATTTTGTAGACCGTAAATTCGACTTATTCTTTTTCTTCTTCTTCTTCTTGTCCACATTTCCTGAGCTCACTACTTTCGCCGAACAGCGTCGCACAGTGCGATCAGTCTCGCCGAGTCTAAACACAAATCCTGCCCTTTCTTCGTCTTTTCTGGTAGTTCCAAACCCCAGTACTTATCACTTTCAGCTTTTGAACCGTACCTCCAATTCAATTTTTTCAACTTTTTTTCTGCGTGTGCAACAGCAAAAAGTCTGCCAAATCCGCACAACAGCAAATTGCTCCACTCGGAATCGCCACCATCTCAATCTATTTTTACACTTTTTTTCATTTTTTTTCTATCTTAACTTTTCATTTTACATCATATTTTTCTATTTAAAAATTTATGAACACTTTTAGGTTTTTTAAAATTGATGACATCTTTTAGGATTTTCAAATTATATAAATAATACAATTTTTTTAATTTTAAAAAAAGCTTGCATTACAATTTCTTGCATTTAAAATGCACTCTAAAATGTGATCGTTTCCTCCTTTTTCTGTCTTCTTTGCTTCTTTGCACTCACACTCCCAGTTTGGTACTTTTAAAACTGCTTTTCTTTTCTTGTCTTCCACCTACTCGAGCTCATCACCTTGTCACCCCTCATTTCCAATTTCACTCTCACCAAAGTTCTAAACTTTGTCTTCTTTTCCTCCAGTCAAACTCTGTCGCTAAACTTTTTTTTCAAAATTAGTTATGATTTGACTTAAAACAATTTCAAATGGCAAAAACATACACACACACACACACACACACTCCAGTCCTCCCAACTCCACACCAGTCTGCTCAAGTCTAGTTCATAGGCACGGTGGTGTCATTGAGGACGTGTGGCAAGCAAGACCCTCCAAAGGAGGTCACATAGTCTGCCGCCCCTCTCTCTCTTCTCGCCGTGACCACCCACGCATAAATATCAAATATATTACCACTACAACAAATACTACTACGCTATTATACTTTTACACATACGCTCTATGACTATCACCACAACTTTATTTGCTGCACCACTAGTCTCACCCCCAACGAATCACACAGTCCTCTCTCTCTCTCTCTCTATCTGCTTTATCTTCCTTCTCAATTGATACAAAGTTGTAACTTATTTATTCTTCTCACCGAACGGTTATGTGCAAATTGTCATAAGTCAGGCGCCACTTTGTTGTGCTTTGTTGGCTGTGCTGATGGGTGCCCCCTGATCACGCATACATACAGCCACTTCACTTCACCTGTACCTGTGTGTACCTTTTCAATGATGTATTAACACTACTGGAACATTGCTTTCGGAAATCCTTCTTTTTTGTTAGTGAAGATTTCTATCTCAACTTTCCTTTGGCGTCTTTTGAAGACATTGTTTGCAAAAAGAATAGTTGTTTCATGTTAACCAGAAGGTGATCCTTATCATCAGGCGTCTTGTAAAACACACACACATTCAACATATGCTCAAATGCTGTATGACAAATCCGCTCACCGGTACACTTTTGCACGGTCGATTTTGTATTTTTTTTCTTTCAATAAACCCATACATTCTATTGCCTTAAAAATGATAAAAAGCTGGTAATTTGTCATTTCTTGTGAGCACAAATACTCTTTTAACCCAATTGAGCGTAAAATTAATTTTAGTAGACTGAAGAGTTGAAGTGCTAGTTGCCGGCGCCTGACCTCACAAGGCGAAATGTTCAGGACCCTTTCAAGTAAATTAGTTCTCTCTCACTTTCACTAGCACTCATCATTGGTGCTAATTGCCGGCATCTGAAATTGTGGCCGCAAAAGGGAGGTTGCCAGGGTTGAGAGTGCTAATGATGAGTGCAGTGGTGGTGGATGCTGCTGCTCATCAATCAGCACCGCTGTCACTCTCACTGCCACTGAAAACCGTCTCTATTTTTGAACACCACTACAATTTGAAATTTTAGTTGCCTCTGTGCTTTGCGGTTGTTTGTACTCTCGTTCTCAAGTGACTCCCTCTCAGTTTTGAAGGATTCACTCACTCACTAACTCATTCATGTATTCTCGCTGAGTGAAAAAAAGTCAGAGGCTAATGAACGCAAAACTACTTTTTCTTGGTGCGGCAATTAATTGAAGCCCGATTTGTAACGGCTCAATTCATCAAGAAGAATTGTTTGCGCTACGTTATTTTTTCTTTTTCACTGTTTTCTTTGCCTGACTGCAACTTTGTAACAAAAATGTTTTTTGCCGCAGAATAAATGAGTGCGGGTGGAAAAGGCTTAACTTGTGGTATTTTTATCTTTTGTCAACGTCAGCTGGTGACAATTTAAAGAGTACCGTTTCTCCATTCATCTTGACTTGACTTGTCATCAGTGGCAACACTACAATTGTTGCTTACCACATTCAGGTGAAAGTTGCTTGCTTACAGCACACAGTGCACTGACATCACCGTTTTCATCGTTTTGCTGATAGATAAGGAGGAAAAAAGAGAGGGACATCAGAGTTTGCAAGAAAGGAAACAACAAAATGCAAACACAAACGATGGGAAAATTGTACAGTGTTTATTTAATTTGGCTGAGGCAAGCATTAATTTGATTTCTCAGTTAGCAATATTAACATTGAACCAACTAGTGGAAAAATTGTGGGGCCCCAATTGTCGTACAATGTGGTATTGACGTTGTACAAACACTTTGTACAGCGAAATTGCAACTACAACTTGATGTACTTGGAATTTTACAATGAACCTGAGAAGCTGAGGTTGATTTGTGTCACTAGTGTTTTTTGTTTGTTTGCCCAACGCTAAAGATGCAGAGACTTCCTCTATGGCACAGAGTGATCCAGTGAGGGCACAGCGACTATGCGTCTCATGAACGGAAGTGAAACCCACTTTCATTGACGGCTACCCCTTATCTGCTGCATCGACTGTTCAGTTTTCTCTCTGATATGGCCGAGCAGTCCATGAATCGAACAGTCACCACTGTCTGCAATGTCTGTAATGTGATCAGGCACCAGCAGCATCAGCACCGGCGACTGGGTAATGCGACTCTGTTTGGTTTGTGTGGCGCCATTTACGCCGTTGATCAGCAGAAGGTTGCGACAGCGGCGGCGGCGGCAGCCTCTGTTTGTCTGCCGTCAAATAATCTTCCCTCTCTCCTTCCACCCGTTTCAGTTGGGTTGGCAGTGTGTGTCTGTGTTGTGGACTGAGCCGACGCTCACTCATCAAAATACACACTTCGAATAAACACCCGCAAAGACTCGCACTATTAGAGATATCGCCATAAACTTCATTCATTAATCTGTCGCTTTAGAGGGGGGGGGCACTACTAAATAAAAGCACAATAAAGGGAATACTGCAAACGGTTTTTCCGTTAGACGTTATACACTTGAGTACGGCAAAAACACATGTGCGCTACATTAGCTGACTCATTTGAAAAGGATTTTCTAGAGTTTTTAATTTTATCTTTACTACTGCATCAAACAAAGACCAAAGCAAAAGAATGACCACCACCTTACAGCAAAGAATTGTGCTTGCCTTTTTTGAGCACAATGGCCCCTGTTCCCTTACTAGCAGCAGTGGCCGTCGTCTTTTTGCTGTCGTTGGTCTTTGACTTCACCTTGAAGGTGACTGTTTTTGTGGTGGAGTTAGTCTTTGACTTGGACTTTATCGAGGAGTTAGAGGGCAGATGACGATCCAGCAGTGGGTGACCACTTGCGGAGAGCTTCGTAGGAGTGGTCTTTGCCGTGAAGAGGCTGCCTGACGTCTTTCCTTCCTTCAGCGACAGGTAGATGTCCCGATCGACGAGAAGCAGGCCCTCATTGTGCGGATCATAAGTGGGATCCTCTTTTGCAGTGGTAGCCAACGCCTTCAAATCGGCTGCCACGAGCTCTTTCACATGGCCCGATCTAATGCGAGCCGGGTTTTTTGGCTGCTGCTGCTGCTTATGAGGTCGATGGCGGTGACCTTTTCCTTTCACTTCAGATTTCTTTTTCTTTGACGAAGAGCATTCTTTTTTCTTCTTTGAGCTATCCGAATCGTCTGAAGAGTTTTCAGCTCCGAAAAACCAAATGTCAAAATTGGCACAAATGACTACTCCAAGTATCAGCAAAGACGAAAAAGTAAAAATCAAAATGAAGTAGTGGTAGAAGTTTAAGGACACGGAGTACAATGAAGATAAAGATTTGTGAGTCATTTTTTAGAATGCACAGTTTTGAAAGTTTATGAAAAGGTAAGAGCAATGGTATTTTATTTTTTTTGCAAATAGTGATAGAACTTTAATCATTTGTAAAACAATTCGATATTTTTTCTCAAACACAACGCTTATTAAAATCAAAAAACGTTTAATAATCATCACGTAAATGGGCACAAAAAAGCAAAGCATTCAATAGCAAGTCACCTTTATGAGAGGTGTAGTAATACCACAGAAAATCATTGGCAAAGTTAATGAAAATGATCGCAAGTTTTTACAAAACAGTAGCAATGATGAATAGGATTAGTAAGAAAATAGATCTATGAAAAAGTGAAAAACTCAATAAGCAGCACATCACACTGAGAAAGCAAGAGATTGAGAAATAGCGATGATTGGCCAACGCTGGATTGACAGAATGTTGGAGAATCACAAATAGTTGCGTCAATAGGGGTTCTCTAAGGAAAGTAAGTTTCAAGCAGTGAAGGAATGAAAGATCAAGGAAAACACAACACGCGGCGGTAGTCTCACACAGCACCTTCTTCGCTTTACAACAATTTCCACATTCACTTTTTCTTTTTATTCTTCCTGTTATCAGAAGCACTTTCCACCGAAGCCACACTTAGGTCTGACTTGAAACTGGTGTTTTTGCTTAGCGTACTGCTTCGAGGTGTAGTCGAGGCTGCAGCGTGGATCGGTCCATTTTGACTCGGTGACTGTTGATTGCTTTTGTAATCTGAAGCGACGTTTGGTTTGAATTCTTTGTACATCATCTGTAAAAAGGAAAAGTTGTCGTTTAGTCGGCCAGTCTCAATCAACCAAAAAACAAAACAATCAGCACACCTTTTGATCAATGTCAGGCACGCGGGACAAAAAGTCGAGAAGTTCGTTGTTGTTGATGGCATCAGGCGCCCGGAACTTTTTAGTAAACTTGTTCACGCCCCACGCGAGAATCAAGTACCGAATGGGAATGTGGTAGAGGATTAAGGTGGCAATACTGAGTACGATTACGGCTAGCCAAGAAAGGAAAGGCACACTAAAATTTGACGTGCTAAATTGTGGAATAAAAATTACAAAAATGGTATTAGTTAAAAATGTCATTTTGATGAAAAGTTATACTTTTTAATCCGTTCAATGTAGGATGCAATTTCTCCAATAATGTTCATCACCACAGTAGAAATTTCTTGCACCGTTTGAAGCTTCTCCTTTAATGACTTTTTCTCTTCCGCTTTCTCGTCGTCATCCTCATCAAAGGCAGTCTCGTCAATAAATTCAATCTGTCGGTCAACATTGTTAATTAGAAATAGTGATGCGAAACTTTGATTGTGTTTTTAGAGCAAAACAAACCTCTTCTTCACGATGGTTCGGGTTAAAGTAGGCTTCAATTTTTTGCCAAATAAAGTTCTTTAGCAGCAGCAGTAGCAGCAGCTGGGGAACCATGTACAGCTCAAAAAAGTACACAAAGGTAAGAAAGAAGATAAAGGCAATCAGAGATCGAGTTGGAGATTCCCACTGAATGCAGGAGTTGAGAAACTGGCCCCACTCTAGCAGTTCCATGCAGACGTTTTTCAGGCGAATGGCATTGCGAACAAAAAGAGCTCGTTTAAACTTAATTTCAGGGTGAATGTATTTTGGTTCACGTGGAGTAAACGTGCGAACGCTTGCTTTGAACTATTTAAAATGTAAAAACTTGTAAGATCATACCCGAAAATGATAGTTTGAAACAGCTTACATTGTTAAATGAGATCCAAAACTCCAGTTGAACATGGCCTTTTACCCTGTGTTGAAGCTTCTTATCTTTGAGCGCGTACCATTTCTTTTCTCCGCTTTTAATCTGCAAAAGATCTTTTTATTGAAATTATTTCAACAGAAAAGGTTTTTTACTTTGAGCAATGGGATGGCAACTTTGCCTAAAAATTCGCAACGATCTTTATCTTCATCGTAAACGGTCACTTCAAGCACTTCGTGAATATCCTTAATGTTACTGAGTAAAAGATAAAAAGTTAAAACATTTTTTCAAAACAAAAACTTTAAAAACTTACAACTCAAACACTTTGTTCCATTCAGGACAGAGCGTTTTATACTCTGTGCCTGTCCGAAGTCTCTCGTTGACCAGCTCAAGGACACAAAATGGATCGCTTTTTCCATTGATGTCGGCGGAGACTAGATTTTCAGCTTTGTAAACTGTAAAACCAAGATTAAGTAATTACTGAAGCAATGTTTTTGTTTGCAGCAGACTGTTACAACAGCTGACATGTGACCTCTGGCCGCAGTTTGGCCTCTGAATGCTATTTACACTTTTCCACTCAAAGAAAAAAAAGAAAAACAGCAATGTACCTTTGACAATCAAGTGACCAACATCGGGTAATTCATTCAAACTGTGAAGAAAGTTCTGAAACCAGAAAATCTATTTTTAGCAAGAATTTATCAAAATGGGCGAAAACTTACATATTTCTTGCAAATGTCCGCGTACGTTCTTGAACGCGTCACCGGACAGTTGAGGTTACTCGAGGATATGTGATTGTTGTTGTTGTTGGCCGACGGCGGCCCCTGTTGGCTGCCGGTGATGGTCACCAGCAGCTCAATGCTCCGCTGGTCGACGTTGAACTTCTGCACTATCTGGTGCGACTTTTCAATGGGCAGCTCGCTGAGATCAATGCACGACTTCTCGATGAAGTCAGATGCCGACTGATTCGCCCCACAGAGCGTTATTTCCAGCACCTTGGACTGGTCGGTGAAGAGGCGCAAGTCAAACTGTTCGCCCCAGTAGGGCGACGATGTCGTCTTGGCGACCACCTGATCAGGGTTTAGAGTTAAACAGTGAAGATCAGTCAAGCGTAACAATGATTTTTTGTTGTTCACTCCGTCACAACTGATTACTCACCTTGCTTTTGTACTTTTCATTAGCCAGCTTGAACTTGATGCAGTAGTCCGTTTCAAGGGAAATGTTATTCCCCTTGATCAGCATCACATTGACCACACTGTCGTACGCCTGTGTGCGCACCTTCTTGCTCGGTCCGTCGACGCCAAAGCTGGTGACCCACTTTCCGCGTCCGTAAAACTGTATTCGGGTTGTACAGAGGAGAGAAAAATATAATCACCAGTGATTTTTTGTTAGTCATTAAAGTAAATGAAGCCACCGTGAAGTGGATTTCTCTCCACAAAAAGAATCTTACGTGCTCCTTCTCCTCTTGAGACTTTGGGTTTAGCTTCACTGAGACGACCACTTTTCCCCACTTTTCATCAACGTTCGCCTTCTCGGCATCGTCATTTTCGTGCAAAAACATTTCAAGCTCAGTGGAGCTATCGATCAAAAGAGGGGAAAAAATGGAGGGGGTGAGAAAAAGAAGATTATCACTAAAACGGCTCAAATGGGAGCAGCGCATTTGAGTGCAGACAAAGTAAACATTTGGGCAAATGTTAAACAGTGCAACTTACACGTTAGGCTCCAATTTAGTGAGATCGATGTGCGTCGAGCCGAGATAGTCATCAACGAAGAGAAGGTCGTGGTCGTACACTTTGAGCACTATTGGCTCAAAGATGTCGTCTACTGGCACAACAAAGTACTCATCCCAGATTGGATTTAGCGTTTTGAAGATTGTCCTGCTCTTGTGAATAATCTGGTTGCCTACTTTGAACTTGACGTACGGATCACTGGTTCCTGAAACAAAATTCAGCAAAAAAGATTACTATTTGAATATGCTTTAGAAGTCTGAAAAAATACCACATGAATCTTTTGCCAGCAAGTTTGATGCACTTCGAAGGTGAATGTCCACTTGATAGAAGGGATACTTTAGTAGTTTGCTGATTTTTTGTCTCTGCAAAATTGTTTCCTAAATGGAAACAGTTGTTGTCAAATACGAAAAAATTTTCAAAAAACTGCCTTGAAACTTACATAGTTTTCTACTTTATCAAGTGGAATGCCTCCGCTAGGTAGTTCAGGCTGTCCGATGAGACTGTCCAACTGTGGAGCACCAAAAGAGGTAAAGTTCTCCAGATCGTCATCGTCGAAATGTTCTATTGAGGACTGCTTGTATCCTCCGTTGTTAGTTGTCGCACAGTCCTCCTTCAAGTCAGCACTGTTGATGATGGCATTGTTTGCCAGCAGTTGCACATTCTCCTCATCCTTTGCCTTATCTCTGCTGCTGCTGTTGTTTGGCTTTAGACTGCCATTCTGATCACAGAGCTCGTAGTCACTGGAGCTGTCTCGAGTGACGCAACGCTGCATGTCACGTTTAATCTTCTTGATTCGACTCAAAGGTGAGGAAGAGCTCTTTGAGTGGGAGGATGAGACGTCATGATGGCCGCCTGACAGCTCCATCTTCTCCTTCTTTATTCTCAGCATTTTCTCCTCGCCGTCCTGTGGATGCTGGCTTGAAGGGTGGATGCTGTGGATGCTGATCTCCGGGTGACTCGAGTACAGACCGTACTGCTCTTTGGTGTTGTTGTTATTGTTATTGTTATTGTGATGGTGGTGTTTTCTCCTCGCAAACGGCGACCAAGAAAGCCGGCACGAGCCTGCAGCAGTGTCGTGCACCAGATGTTCGTTCTCACTGGCACTCAGCTTCCGGCGATGATGATGGTGGTGACGGTATTTGCCGTTGTCCTCCTCTTCTTCGTCCTCCACCTCCTCCTCTCCGTCCTCCTCCTCCTCCTCGTCGTCGCCAGCCTGAGCTGACGTCCTCGGCCTGTGGATCGGCGAGAAGCGTTTCACAGCGAACCACAACTGCTGGAAGCGTTTGGAGCCAAAGAGTGCCGCGTGGTGGGGATGTCGTTGTCCGGAGGACAGACTGGCTGCCTCATCGTACTGTCGGTGGCCTAAGTAAAGAAGAGTGATCAGCACTAGGCAGCAGTAGATTGAAGGGGGAATGACGGGCAGATAGACCAGCGCGAGCAGGCCTAGGTGGATCGGTCGAATGAGGCTGAACTCTTTCATTGTCACTTTCACTTAGGCGAATTTCACTCCATTGTGGGAACGAGAACAGACATTCAGACACGCACTTGCACAGTTTCCGCAGAAGCAGCAGCAGTGCAAACCACGCACCACTTTTTTCTTGGCAAAAACAGCGGCAGTGGTTTCACACACTCGTCTAAAACAATCAACTACCCCCTCACTTGCGAGCATTCATCTTTTTTTCTGCAGAGAAACACGACATGAATAAATTAACCGGTTGTGGTGGATGTCTTCAACGTGTGAAAAAGAAAAAGGCAACCAGTGCTGCACTGGACTGACCTTGAAGCGCCAAAGTAAAACAAACGCCAGTGATGGTTTGTTTGCACGTAAAAAATAATGCACTTCTTTTCTCCTCTTTTCTCTCAATCAGTATGCGTAGTGAAAGGGAAAAACGACGGCAGAAGATACTGCCAGAAGAGCAGTGCACAGACAGGCCAACAGAAAAAAACAGAAGAGGCACAGACTGACTTCAGACCTTGAAGTTCACTGCACAGCAATCGTGCTTTCAACTTTCTCCGCCACATCGCAGCATCACTGGCCACTGGTAATGAGTGCCAGTATCATTTGCCTAGTGTTTGCCGCTTCAAGCGCACACCGTCTGCCAACAAACTCCATCTTGAGCACTGGTGACGACAAGGAAGGCAGAAGACAAAAGAAGAGGCACTCTGCAAAAAGGGTGCCACACACACAGTGAAGCAATCACAACAGCAGCAGTCAATTGATTGCAGTTTGGCAATTCCTTGTTTTTTCATTTGTTTGTTCACTACAGCTGGTAATGAAGTTAGAGAAAAAAGCAGCGTCTTAAAAATAGAGTGCAATTTAGAAAGTCGAAAAAAACAGCCAAACCTAAATGTGAATCTACAGGAATGGCAGCCTACAACTTACACTTCTTCTGCTGATGACAACAAACTCAGTTTGATAGCCAATTTGAATTGCCAATTGGTGTGGCGCACATGTGCTCGGTGCAGCGGTACTGCCGTTGTCCTGGGTCATTCCTCATGAAAGTGTAAAAGTGTATCAAAAATGCCCAGGCACACAATAATAACTGTCAAGAAGGCAACCAGTCACTCAACATAGCAATCATGTATTCAATATATCGCTCTGTGTCTGTCTGAGTGTAGATGTAGGCCAAGATATATTCACGTCAGTTTTGCCCGACTCACACTTACATAACGACACTCCAAATTGCCTGTCCGCAAAAAAAGAATGTTGTGTCTCTCGTGTAATTGTAACTAAGGAGCACTGAGAGTGCACGCCATACAAAATGAAGAAGCAGTTGCCAAAATATATATTCTAAGAGTTTTTTAATTTTAAAAATTGAACCAAAACTAAGTGATGAATTGCGAAGGCACTTGGAGAGTGCTTGAGACAATTTAATTTGTCTTCACTGGCGTTGGCACACTGCCGTACAGCTACTTCTACCGTTCCCCTACAACTACAACTTCTGTACAGTGCCTTACTTCAGCTACTTCCTTCTTTGTACTTACAGTCGTTATCGGTGGAATGCATGGCCGCCGTCGTGAGGCTCGAAGCTCGGCCTGCTTTATTGCCGCCACCCCTGGTGCTGTCAACTTCAATGGGGTCGGACTGTTGGTAGTGCTCTCCTTCTTCAGCAGTACTCTTATTGATGGCACCACATTGAAGTTCATTCAATTGGCCAGTGTGCTCGTGGTGGTGGTGGTGGTCAGTCGAGGCAGCACAATTACCAACAAGAACACCGCTGACAGCAGTGCTCCTTACTAGACTTTCTGGTGAGTCGGCTGACATTGTAAAGAAAAGAGAAAAGAAGAAGAAGAAGAAGAAGTTGTGGTGTTTGCAACAAAGTGCCAGTCTGATTTAGACCAACTGCACAATGGCCGAGAGTTTCATCTCGAGAGTTATTGCCCACTGCCACTGTAGTGTTCATAGTGAAGGAGAATGGGGCAGATTCTTAGTGAAAAAAAATAAAAATTCCAAAAGTAGCAATAATGATGAAATTTTGCGGCAAAGTAAAGCAGTGCACATTCACTCAAATTGAAAGTAAAGTGGCTCGTCAGTTGTTGTTCTCTGGTGATCGATGTGCACTGAAGAAGTAGAGGAAGAAGAATGGCGGCGACAACAATGACCACGACCACAGTGTGTGCCCGTCACATCGCCACTGGTGGGCGACAGTTTAGTCGCAATGTCGCCATGTAGACGTGATAGTTCAATTGTGCCTGCCGAGCGAATTTACCAGCTGACAGGCTTTGTGTTGCAGTAATTGTCCCCTAACAGAAGCAAAATGCTCATTCTGGTGTGTATGTACTGGACTCTGCTGGTTCACACGGTCGTCAACGTGGGCACTTTCCCTTTCTCTGTAATTCACACCGCCTCACTGCTGTTTCTTGTATTGATTTCGCTCTGTCGAATTAATTAACCTTCTCGTAAAAGAGTAGACTGGTGGTTGTGGCTGTGGCGGTGACAGTGGCGGTGGTGGTAGTATCTGAGGATATGCAAATTACGTGTACAGCCAATAATTCCAGTAGTTAGTGTGTGTGCGTGTATGTGCAAGTGAGTTGACTGCTTCTCGATTTAGTTTGGCGTCTGCAACAAACAACTGAACAACGGCACAAAGGCGATTAAAGTATTATTATACCGAGGAAAATGGGGTAGGGTTTGTAGCGCCAGAGCACCAAATCTACTCCACAACAAAACTGATTGCCGTGTTTTGTAGAACATGCAGCACTACATGCAACAGCAGCAGCAGCTATCTTCTTCCTTTGCAAATGTAATATAAAATGCTAATTGACTTTGGTGAATAATTTGTAGTGCCGTTGGGAAGTGCGATATCAGATAGGAAGTAAACTTTCCAGCAATTTGTTAGTAGTGTTTCTTTTTATTAGAGAAAACAGACGACGGCGTTCATGTGTTTACAAAGTTATTGCAAACAACTTTGTCACAATTTAGGACCAATATTTGTTGCCAACTAATTTTCGATGCTCTAATTGACTTAGCTATCAATTGCATTTACAGAATTGGGGCAAATTGAATTATTATTTGCTTTACTGAGAAAACACTTGAATCAGTGGCGACAAAAAAGTGGCACTCTTTATTAGAAAAGCGAAGAAAAGAAATGGCTACACTTTAGGAAAAACTATGATGAAATGTAAACACTACCGGAAAGCACCATTTCCAGGCAAACACGAGCAGTGCTTTGCATACTTAATTATGGAAGAAGAGGTAGTCGTATACTTTCTCTATGCAGTGCAATAAAAAGACAATGTTGTCTTTGCAAAAGTGGCCCACTATTTGCCGCCCTAATGTGCCACAGCAGCACTTCCATTTGGGATTTATTTTGAATATTACTGCCTCTGAGAGTGGCCCTTCAAGTGTGCTGAGCTGTTAATCTATGTTAAGTCTGCCATTTTGTCTTGAAAAATTTCTAGAAGTGTAGACTATTTTATATTACAACATCCTTGTCTAGAAAAGGTGATGGTTTTTTCATCTTTGCAGCAGAAACAAAGAACTAGGAGAAGCTTCATTATAATGGGAAAAAATCGATAGACCGAAATACGATGTAATTAAGGAAATGAAATGAGAACATTCAACAAATGAAGCAAATAGCTGCGTGCGTGTGCAGCCTCAGTTTGCAGTCTGTCGATAAAATTGTGTCTAACTGTGTAGTGGAAGTAGTGGCGGTGGTGCCCAGAAATAAATGCTTCATCGAACTGAAGCAGCAACCAGCAACCTTCATGCTCAGGTGCTTCCTTGTCTTCCACCACCAGCACCACCACCACAACCTCCTTTTCTCCTTCTCATTGAACCGCTGACCGTGCTGAGCATGCTAAATTATGAAACAAATACCCAGACTGCTATTGCATTATTTACAACCGTCTATTGCCCTGCAGAACTAGCTGCTGCTGCTGTCCGCAAATGGTGCTAGTCAGTGCTTCGTTAAACTCACCACTGATCCACAGCCACTGGAGCTAGAGTTTAGCTTTTGCCTGTCTGCTAGCACCTTCCTTGTTTCTTTGCTTCTAAACGCTCCACGACAAAGTGCTTTTCAATTATGAATAGAATACTGTTGCTAAATGTGACGACTTTGCTGATGATCACATTGCATTTTAGAGACAACTGCTCTAGTGTTTCACTGCTTTCCTGTTTAAATGTATTGTTCAAATTAATTGCTTGCAAACGTTTTATAGCTGTACAAAATGGCAACACTAACGGTGTTTTGCTTCAGCCCTGGTTATTGCCCATGCGGGTGAACGCGAATGACTGGGCAAGCAAATGTGAGCTTTACTGCGCCACTTTTC